CCCTACGGACACGTCTCGAGGTGAAACTGGGAGGAGATATTCATATAAGGAGAAGGGATGGAGGAGGAGCAGGAGGACCAGGAGGAGGAGGAGGGAGGAGGAGGAGGAGGAGGAGGAGGAGGAGAAGAGGGAGTAAACTGAGGATGACGAGGAACATCTTTGGGGCCTCCTTGGAGCCTCCTGGAGACCTCCTGGGAGGTTCCTGAAAGCTTCTCGAGGGCCTGTTGGGGGCCTCTCTAGGCCGTGTCGCTTCAAGGCCGTCTTGTGCGGGGGCCATGTGCGAAGGACCAGGAGGAGGAGAAGGAGGAGGAGGAGAGGACCATCAAGCGGAGGGTCGCGTGTGGGGGCCGCGCGGAATGTCTTCATCCCTGGGTGGGCGTGGCCGTTGTGGGGCTACTGCCGCGAGGGCCACGCAGATGACCAACCCGGGGAGGCGGGGGGGGGTGGGCACACGGGTGGACACGGGGGGGGGGGGGGGGGGGGGCACGCCAGCGAGCAAGGGGGAGGACACGGACAAGGCGCGCAGGTCGTGCAGAGCGGCGAAGGAGCCTGCGGGATGGCCCCCCTCCATGAGACGGACCAGAGAGAGGCTGCGATGCAGCGGCCGTCGGGCCCGTGCGCCCGAACGTCTCTGACGTAGAGGCTGGGCGCCGTCCACTCTGGGACGGCTGACGAGATCAGAGCCATCAAGTTATATATATATATATATATATATATATATATATATATGTGGACCCTCTTGGACTGTTCTTGGAGTGCTCATGGAGTTGTGACTGTCGGGACATCTTGAGGCCTCAGAGTTGAATCGGAAGAGGAACAGCAACAGCGACAAAATCACCCCAACCGAGAACATATTCTACTAAGATAAGTTTGGTCTCTCTGGAGTCCCTCTGGGAGGCCCTGGGGCCACCTCAGAGCCATCATTGAGCCTTCTCGGGGCATCTGTCAGCCATGCTAAAGCCAGTCGTCATCTTAGAGGCACGCCTTACCTTGTCCAACCGTCTCTGGGAGAAGTTGGCCTGTGATATGACAATCCGCCACCGTGCCTTGGGCACGGAGTGGGCGTGTTAGAATGCTCCTGCGGTCCCTCTGGAATTGTTCTACATGTTCTCTATGGCCGACTCCCACCCGGTTCGCGCGCGGAGTTCAAACATCGCCCCCCATGGAATTTCCTCCCGGCGCTCTTTTCAGCCTCCAGACTGCCACGATGGCCTCCAAGACGGCTTCCAAGACAACCAAGACGACACCAAAACGGGTCAAGATGGCCCAAGACAGCTCAAGAGCCTCTCAAGACCAGCCTCAAGACGGCCCGAGTGGCCCCCAAGGCGGCCCAAGGGGGCTCCACGAGGCCCCCAAGACGGCCCAAGAAGCTCCAAGCGGTCTTCCTGGAGAGCCCGAGAGGACAAACATCTTTGATTGTCCTTATTGGTTCGAGGATGTTGAAGTTCTCGCCTGTTCGGGCCTCCAACCGCCCAAGACGGCCCACGAGGCCTCCAAAGGGCCACTAAGATAGCTCCAAGACAGCCCAAGAGGCCCCCAAGAGGGCCTCAAGTCGGGCCAAGAGGGCCCAAATATTGCCAAAGGGGATCCCAAGAGGGCTCCAAGGCGGCCTTGAAGCGCTCCAAGAGAGTCACAAGACGGCCCAGATAGGCCAAGTGGGCTGTCTTGGGCGGTCGGAAACCCAATCATGCCAGAACCTCCAAATCCATCAAAATATTTAGGAAAATCAATGGCGTTGGCCTCCTCGGGCTCTCCTGGAGGGCCTCTTGAAAACCTCTTGGGCCGTCTTGAGGCCCTCTTGATATGTCCCGAGACCTTCTTGGGAGCCGCATGGCCTCCAGGTCGGCTTTCAAGGCAGCCAAGATGGCACTGAGATGGCCCCAATATGGCCCAAGACAGCTCAAGGCACGCACATGAAAGCCTCAAGACAGATCAAGAAGCCCCCAAGATGGCCCAAGAGGGCTCCAATAAACCCTCCAGGAGAGACTGAGGGGGCGAAAACCATTGATTTCGCCTTGATGTTTGACGAGTTTTGAAGTTCTCGCATGTTCGAGTTTCCAACCGCCCAAGACTGCCTAAGAAGCATCCAAGAAGCCTTCATGATAGCTCCAAGGCAGCCCAAGAGAGCCCCAAGAGGGCCTCAAGTCGACCAGCAAGTGTCCACAGATCGCCCAAGGGGCTAGGAGGCCCCAAGACGGCCTTGGAGCGCTCCAAGAGGGCACCGACACGACCTAGAGTGGCCTCCAAGAGGCCCTCAAGAAGCTTTCAGGAAACTCCCAGGAGGTCTCCAGGAGGCTCCAAGAAGGCCCCAAGGATGTTCCTCCTCATCCTCAGTTTCTCCCTCTCCTCCTCCTCCTCCTCCTCCTCCTCCTCTTCTTATTCTTCTTCGTCTTCCTCCTCCTCCTCCTGCTCCTGATCCTCCTCCTCCTCCTCCTCCTCCTCCTCCTGGTCCTCCCTACCGCGCGGACGAAGACGAGGTCGGGATCACGACCCGTCCCGATGCACATTAGTCGTCAGAATGGCGCTGGTCCTGCACTCAGCCTCCTTCCTGCTGCGCTGTTGCAGAGGCTCGATGGCGGGGTTTGCTGCAGGCAACTGGATATACTTACTGGGGTCTGCACCAGTGTTCCGTGCGAAGATGGACCGTCCAAGATGGCCCTTGATGGCTCGAAGATGGTCCCAGGCCTAAGATGCGCTCCAAGATGGCGCGTGATGCCTCAAGTTGGCTCAAGATAGCCTCCATTATGGCTTCCAAGACGCTTCCAGCAGGCCCCGAGACGACTCGAGGTGGCCACAAAGCCTCTCAGGGATGCTCCGAAGAGTATAGCTTGTCAGCGAAGATCGCTTTCTCGCTGTTTAGCTTCGGGTGGGCCTCCGGACTTCTGCGAGGCCTCCCGGGCCCCCTCCAGAGGCTCGGAACGGGGGCCTCTCGGAAGGCCAGGGAGGGAGCCTTCCGAGCGGCCCCGCCGCCCTCGGAGCAGGCCTGCCCCGTCTCGACAGCTTTCCCTTTGCGGCGCGCCGCCGACCTCGTGGGACGCACAGAGACATCCGGGGGCCCAAGAGGGGCCCTGAACGGCCCGAAGAAGACTCCAAAAGCCTGAGCGCTCCGAGAGCGCTCAAGAGGCAATGTGTTGAGCTCTGATAGGGGAAGTTAGCTGTAAGCACTTTGTTGTGTTAATTGTTAGTCTCACCCGAGGAGGGCCGCCGAGGCCACCAAGCGAGCCCCGAGAGAGCCCCAAAAGGCTTCCCCAGAGTGTTCCAAAACTGTTCCGACAAACATCCGAACGATGATGACAGAGGTCCCCGGGTTGGTAATTAGTCGGGGCTCCTCGGGCTGGCTCCGGCTTCGCCTTGACCACCCAGTGCGGTGCGAGCTCTGAACACTCCGGTATGGCTGACTCGGGAGTCTACTCGGGTTGATCCCGAACTTCGGCTTGAGAGATACCCCCTCTTCACTGTTTCACTCTATGCTCCTACACTTCCCTGCTCAATACAAGCCGTCTGGTATGTATCTCGGCACCCATTCGTGTCTAGTCCTAATGTAAATTTGTAACTTCGCGACATAAATACGATATCCACATCTTGTTTTGACTGTTCAATACATTTATATACATATTCTGCGCAGAATGGGAATTAGCCAGTCCTAGGCATTCTCAGACGGCGCTGGCGCGAATCGTGACTTGACCAGACCCCTCCCCCCCCCGTCACGCCCATTATGGCCAGGGGATACAAAATCTGTTTCCTCCACGCTCCGAAGCTCAGAAAATGAGCGCACTCCTCGCTGCCTCTCCCAGGCCTGGGCCTGGGCCTGGGCTGGCGGCCAGGAGACGAGGCACAACCACGAAAACAAGGCTCCAAGTTCTGTAACACAACTGTGCGAGAGAATCCGCCGATTCCCTCTTGCCGGGAGTGAAAAGGCGTGCGAGAAGATTGGCTGACAAACCACACACGCAAACACACACACACACACAAAACACACACACAAACACACAAACACACACACACACAAAACACACACACACACGAAAATCACACACACACAAACAAATGCCCACAGACACACAAACACACACACACACACGCACACACACACGCACGCACGCACGCACGCACGCACGCACGCACACACGCACACACACACACACATACACACACACGCACACACACACACACACACGCACACACGGCTCCAAGACAGACGAACGTCGTAGCAGAAAACAAACTGCTACGAGACGCCCAAATACCACCCAAAAGCGGCGTAAGGGACTGCCAAAGGCTCCTAGAGGTCACCCTCACGCCCAAGAAGCCGTCGAGAGACGTCCGAAGCGACCTCCAGAGAGGCCCTCAGAGACTAAGTACATTGACAACCAAAAGGGCTCTCGTCATCATATTGCCTCGTCAAAAGCATCAGAGATCTGCAAGACGCCCGAAAGACGGCCTTGGCCATTCCAAGATGGCCCAAGAGGGCTCCAAGACAGCCCCAAGACCCGCCCAGACTTTCCCTAGATGGTTCAACTGAGCATCTTCAAGACCCTCGACGGGCCCCCAACGGCCACCCAACCGGGCCCCCCGACGTCCCGAAGAAGTCCCCCAAAGGCCACCAACATGCCATCAAGAGGAAGGAAGAGCAGAACGAGGCTGAGGAGAAAAAAGGAGAGCAATGAAAACCTGCACCAATTTGAAAACGGCGCTGAACTGAAGCGGGTCTCACATTCGGCCCTGCTGCGCTGCTGCGTTGGCACGGTGCCGGGATCTGCCGCAGGCGGCGGGATATGACCCCCGATCTGGGGGTCCCCCCGCTAACAGTCCGTGTCCATTTGGCCGTGAGGTGGACGGGGGGATGGAAAGCTGGCGATGAGCATGACCAGGCGTGGCCCAGCAGAGAAGGGCGCTGCGCACAGGAGGGGCAGCCTGACTGGGACGACGACGAAGGCGAGGCGAGCGAGACCCCGCTGGTCGTGGGCAGGACCCGGCACCGAAGGCGGGCGAAGAGGGCGCGCCTGGTACATGAATGCCAGGCAGGCGGCGCAGCAGCAGAACACCAGGACGCCGACGCACGCGACGGCCACTGCCTGGGAGGTCCTCCTCCCTCCCCCCCCCTCCTCCGGCGCTTCTCGCCGTTCACCGCCCTCTCATTTTTGAGCGTTGGGCCGCCTGGGACTCAGGGCTGGGCCTCTCTTCGCTGGGGAGAGTGGCGGTCGAAACAACCTCTCGGGGTGATGGCCTTCAGCAAGACGGCGCGCAGACTGTTGCGAGCAATGCCGAGTACCAAAGAAGTTCCCAGGGGGCCTCCAGGAGGCCCCCAAGAGGCTCCCAAGAGGCCCTGCGACGACGTGACTGTACGTGCTCCGGACGTGCACCCCGCGAAGCGAGAGGAATCAAGACATATGGTTTCAGCTAGCGGGCGAAAGGAACCCACGTATTTTGCAGGTGCGGGCAAAACACAACATGTAAAACACACAGGGTTTCAGCTATCGGGCGAAAATAACCCATGGTTTCATAAGTGTCCCGCTCACGGAATAGGAAACGTTTCAACTCACAGGCGTTAGGAACCTGTGTAAAAAAACATGGCTTGAACCCGCAAGCGAACGAAACCCATGTAAAAACACCCGACTGCAGCTCCTCCTCCGCCTGATCCTCCTCGCAGACGAGGGCCCCGCCCAAGACTTCCTCGCGATTCACTCTCAGACGAGGCCCTCGCTCGAGATATCCTCGCATTTTTCTCAAGCGCAGCAGTGGGCCAGATCACCAAACGTCAGATATTCCCCTAGGTGGCCTGGACATGTGAAAACACAAACTAAATCTACAAGTGCCCGACGCATTTCCACGATGTCTGCGAAACAAGCGTTTCGCTCGAGCCATCCTCAACACAGGCTGCTGAACAATCGTTTCGCTAGAGACATCCTCAAACTCTCCAAAACAAGCGCTTCGCCAGAGACGTCCTCATCGAATGGTGCAACCGCTCGGGACATCCTCAACAATGACAGTCGCCAGCCCTATGTTCGACTCGGGGGTTTTGGACAACGCTCACCTCTTTGGAGGCAGAATAGACCTCTGTGCACCTCTGGAGACCTCCACGAACCTCTCAAATGGGACTAGAGCAGACGGGGTCAGAAGATCGTACCGCCAGCAACGTCAGTATTGAGAAATTGAATACCTGCCAGACCGAACAGGCAAGACCAGACAAGACCAAACCCACTACACGACCTGGAGGGTTCGGACTCTTTTGGAAGCGCGTGAAACTAAGGACCCCAGGGGAGTCCACAATCGCGGGGGCGGCGGGCGAGCCGACACCGAGCCCGTCGGGAGCCCATGGAGTGATGGAGAAAATCGGGCTCTGGATCGAGCCGCATCGCCGATGCATCGGCGATGAGGAGCACCTCCACCCCCGTCTGCTCCAGCCTGTCTGGGCGGCCTGGACGGGCCTCAGAGGCACCGCACGCCCAGGCAGGGGCAGCACGACCTCTGGGCGGCACCGCGGCCCTCCGTCTCACTTGGTGCACCCGAGGGACAGGGCGGAGGCAGGGGGGTATTCAAGGGCGGTGATCACGCGGACGGGGAGAAGTGAATGGAGCGGCGGTGAGGGGGAGGGGAGAGAGGGGTGGGGGGACGTCGAGGGAGGAGGGCGAGGGTGGGAGGGGGATGGAGGAAGGGGGAGGGCATGGGCCAGGTGGGACATCGAGGGAGGAGGGCGAGGGGTGGGGGTGGGGGAAGGGGGAGGGCCGGGGCCAGGGAAGGGAAGGGCAGGGGAGCACGAGGGGGGGAATGGGATGGGGGCCGGTGCGCCGAGGCCGTGGCAACGACGCCGCCCTTGCCGCGGCCGGTCGAATCACCTCGCGCGAAGGCTCGCGCTCCCAGCTATGTGCATGAACACGGCCTCTCGATCCGCGAGACTGGCCGCGTTATACGAGCATTTGCGCAATGCGTACTCTCGAAACCAGCGTGGATTCATGTACGTGTACGTCCTGATTTCGCCCCTGACCTGTGGCGACCCATCTTCGAGCAAGCCCTCCCCTCGGCATCGCTCGGACGTCCATGTCTCGTACATCTGTCGGTTTCGTGCGGGTTTTCCTAGATGATCAAGGATGCTCCTCGATGGCCCTCGCCGAGCAAAAATGCACACGTCCGAGCGATGCCGAGTCCCCTGTGACGAGCCGTCTTCGAGCAAGGCCTCCCGTCCAGCACCAAGGGGGAGTGCGCAGGGAACGACAAGTGCGCAGAGCACGACACATGCGCAACTGGCAACTCAACTGGCTCCGCGTACGTGGCGCCGTGAAGACGCAGAGGAGGGGGCGCCGGGGCGCCTGTCCACCACCGTGCCTGCCTGCATGGAGTGTGCGTATTAGGATTAGGTCGGGCATGGGGCGAGAAATTAAAAATGGCCCCAAAATGCTCAAACTAATCGAAAATACGCAAAACAACAAATCGTCCTAGGCTATTTTTTTACTGTTTTTGAATATTCCTCCTGTAGAGGGACAGGCCCGACTGAATTCTAGAATGCATGTTTGTTCTCTGGGAGGTTGTTTTTTTGTGTTTTCTGAGGCCGCCCACCCCCCTCTCGCCACGCACGTGGTCCTAAGATCGACCCACCTGCACAGTAGACGGCATCTGATTGAGGTCCTGACACGCGCCAGTTATCTTTAGCGGGCGTTGTCCTCTTCCTCCGCCCCTGTCCTGCTCATCATTCTCATCCTCCTGTTGTGGCGCTGTGGCGCTGTGACGTTGTTTTGGCATGAAAACGGGTTGCGATCGCCATTTCTTTGATTTGCCCATAGATTGAACCACATTGCCATCATCGTCATGGTTGCCGGTGCCCCGTCTGTGTCCTTGTCTGCTTGTGCCAATTGATTATGGGTGTGTGCATCAGGAGCTGAAGAACACGTTCCAATTCTGCATCGACTGTAACCATGGACTACGATGGTCGATAATGCAGCCGCTAGCCGAGAAACATGACCCGGATCCCTGTCTTTGTCCGTTCGCGAAGCTGTTGATCCAAAAAGGGCCAATCGTGTTATGCGTAATCGGAAACATTGTCGTTCCACTCATCCAAAAGAAGGTTTTGGATATGTGAGGAATGGCAACACGTTCAGGACAATGGATTCATACTGAAAATGTCGGTCATGACGTGACGTGACAGGGGATGTGCTGTGCTTTGCCGTGCTGAATTTAGATGTGCCATGTCGCAATGGTTTGCGTTGTGCTCGATAGAGTTGTGGATCGAACGGTCTTTAGCATCCGAGTCCTGACCGAACTGATCTGGATCCTAAGCTTGAGCTGCCTGAGCGCTTAGCTGGTCCAGGGCTGAGTGCAGTCGAAACTTGCGGGGCGTTCAATCAGCTCAAGCTCGAGACCCGACTCAGTTCCCAAACGAAACGAGACGACGCGGGACGCAGGGCGCATGAACGCGTCACGGGATGTGCCAGGGGCGCACCAGGGGATGCGACCGAGGACGTGTCAGGGGACGTGTGCACAATCGTGTTATGCACAATCGGAAAAAAGGGGAGCTGCTTACGTTGGAGAAGGAGATGGCGGATGAGCAGGAGGATGGGCAGGAGAAAACGGAGGAGGATGAGGACGAGGACGAACAGCAGTAGCCAAAGCTTGAGTGAAGGAGCGGGAGGAGCAGGAGGACCAGGGAAAGGCGGAGGAGGGAGAATGAGGGGGGCGACACCGATGGAAATGAATTCGGATACAGGGAAGTGGCCCGTGCTGGGGCGAGAGCGCCATTCTGTACGATGGAAGAAAGTGCCAGTCCAGCCCAAGCTGCAGGGGGAGCAAAATTTTGAAAAACCGACCACAACTGGAGCGCAAAACCATTACAACCTTGTCGACAAAACAATACGCGGAGAGGGCCGAATATCCCCCGGGCAGAGCCAGGAGACAGAGGAGAGTAGTTTTCATGATGAGTTGCAAAGTGAGAGAGAGAGAGAGAAAGAGAGAGAGAGAGAGAGCAAGAGCGAGAAAATAGAGAGAGAGAGAGAGAGAAAGAGAGAGAGAGAGAGAGAGAAAGAAATAAAGAAAGAAAGAGAGAGACTGAGGCAGAAAGAATGACATAACAGAACGGTAAATAGAAAAAAAGAGAGCGAGAGAGAGAGAGAGAGAGATACATACATAGACAGACAGAGAGAGACAGAGAAAGAGAGAGAGAGAGATAACAAAACAACGAAGAACAAAATAAACAACGGGAGCAGTACGACGGCCGTCCCTGGCGAGGCCTAAGAAGGAGCACCAAGTCGAGCAGAGGGGCCCCGGCGAACGACGTGCACCTCCTACCCGGTTTGCGGCAACTCGTGGAAGCCTCCCGTACCATCGTATCGGCTCTTGCGAATCGACGCTAGTCGACGCTAATCAACGCTACATCGACACTAGCCCACGCTAACCAACGCTAGCTCGGCCGGCGCTATCCCATCAACCCCAAAACGCCTGCGAATCGACGCTAGAGACGGAATGAAGAGGGTATACACCAGGCCCCCGTGATTTGCTACCGAGACCCCTGAAGCCTCCCCCGCGGGCGGCGGGGAGGGGCGCGCGCCGTTCTCCTCGCAGTCGTCGTCGTTCTGCGCGGCGGGAGGCCGACCAGGGTTGGGGCGGAGCACAGACAGGGCCGGAGCATCGCACTGCATCGGAGGGTGCGCCGACGGAGTGAACCAGCGGTGTCGGGCTGGAGCGAAGCAGGCGCGGGATCGTACTGCTAGGAGCGCGTTTCTTGACTCTCTTGCACAGGGTGTCTAGAGCTCCGACCACTTCATTTCGGCACGGCACCCACTCCATCACCCACACATTCCACCAGCCAGCGCGCCCCTCCGCCCCGACCCCATTATTTCGGAACGGCACACCCCTCCGCCCCGACCCTTTTATTTAACGACACACCCCCTTCCACACCCCCTTCCGCATCCCTCCCAAACCACCAGCCAGCGCGCCCCTCCGCCCCGACCCATTTCGGCACGGCACACCCCTCCGCCCCGACCCTTTTTTATTTCGGCACGGCACACCCCCTCCGCATCCCCCCCACCCACCAGCCAGCGCGCCCCTCCGCCCCGACCCCCATATTTTGGCACGGCGCACCCTTCCGCCCCGACCCCCTTTATTCCGGCACGGCACACCCCCTCCACATCCCACCACCCACAGCCAGCGCACCCCTCCGATCCGACCCCTTTCTCCAGGCACGGCGCACACAACAACACACACACAAAACACACACACACCACACCATCCCCCCCACCCACCAGCCAGCGCACCCCCTCCGCCCCGACCCCTTGTATTTCGGCACGGCACCCCCTCACCGCGCGCCCCCTCCGCCCCGACCCCTTGTATTTCGGCACGACACACCTCTCCGCCCCGGCCCCTGTATTTCGGCACGGCACACCTCCTCCACACACCCTCCGCATCCCCCCCACCCACCCCACCCACCGCCAGCGCGCCCCTCCGCCCCGACCCCCTTTATTTCGCAAAGCCACCCCTCCGCCCCCCCTTTATTTCACGGCACACCGCTTCCGCACACCTTTCACCAGCCAGAGCGCCCCTCCGCCCCGACCCCTTGTATTTCGGCACGGCCCCCCCCCCCGCATCCCCCCACCCACCAGCCAGCGCGCACCCCCCTGATTTCGGCACGGCACACACACACACCACACCCGCGCGCCCCCTCCGCCCCGACCCCTTTATCTCGGCACACACCCCTCCGCCCCGACCCCTTTATTTCGGCACGGCACACCCCCCCGCATCCCCCCCCGCCCCCCAGCCAGCCCCCCCTTCCCCCCTTTTAAGCACGGCACACCATTCCGCCCGACCCCTTTATTTCGGCACGGCACACCTCTTCCGCATTTCCCCACCCACCAGCCAGCGCCCTACTTCGGCACGGCACACACACCCGCATCCCCCCACCCACCAGCCAGTGCACCCCCTCCGCTATTTCGGCACGGCACGCCCCTCCGCCCCGACCTTTTTTATTTCGGCACTGCACACCCCCCCCGCATCCCCCCCCACCCACCAGCCTGGGCGCCCCTCCGCCCCGAACCCTTTTTATTCCGGCATGGCACACCCCTGCGCCCCGACCCCTTTGATTTCGACATGGCACACCCCTTCCGCATCACCCCGCCCACCAGCCAGCGCGCCCCTCCGCCCCGACCCCTTTATTCGGGGATCTTCTGACCCGGGTCAATCCAGACCCGGGTCAGCAGGAAACCAAAAACTGCAATGCAGGGAAAAAAACTGCAACGCAGGTCCTCGCAAACCCGGGTCAGCCAATAGGCGCGGCCGCCTCGCGGCCACGAACGGCTCCCTAACCCGGGTCAGCCAGAGGGGGTCTTTGCAGGATCCTGCAGGATCCGGCGACGTGGCTGACCCCCGTTTGCATTGACCCCCGTCTCAAGGCTCCCGATTTATTTCGGCACGGCACACCTCTCCGCCCCGACTTCATTTATTTTGGCACGGCACACCCCCTCCGCATCCCCCCACCCACCAGCCAGAGCGCCACTCCGCCCTAACAATTTTATTTCGGCACGGCACACACCCCCGCATCCCCCCACTTACCAGCCAGCGCGCCCCCTCGGCCCCGCGACCCTTTCATTTCGGCACGGCCCCCACTCCCGCGCGCCCCGCGCGCCCCCTCCGCATCCCTCCCACCCTTCAGCCAGCGCGCCCCTCCGCCCCGACCCCTTTCTTTCGGCACAGCACACCCCTCCGACCGGACCCGTTTGTTCTGGCGCGGCACGGCCACATCCGCCCTGACCCATTCATCTCGACACGGCACCGCCCCCCCCACCCCGAGTGACCCCTCCGCATCCCCCCATCCACCAGCCAACGCGCCCCCTCCGCCCCGACACCCCCATCCCGAGCGCCCCCTCCATCACCCCTTTCACCAGCCAGCGCGCCCCCTCCGCCTCCTCCCCCTTCCTTTCTGTGCAAGAGCCATGGCGCGCGTGCCATTTGTTCTGGGCGACAACGGGCGTTAGAAGGGGGGGGGGCGGCGGGGGGGTTCTATGTAACGCCCCCCCGCCCCCCGCCGTGTGGCTTCGGCACCACAGCCGCGCCAGCGCGAACGACGACGATAAGCGACGAGCTACGAGCGACGACGACGACGACGCGAACAGCATGTAGGTGGCGACCTGCCCACATCGCCTGTGTACACCACCATGCTCGCGTGCACCACAGCGCGCGTGTACACCGCAGTGCTTGCGTACACCGCAACAGCCGTGTACGACGCAGCGCCTGTGTACCCCACAATGCTTGCGTACACCGCAACGCCTGTGCACACCACAGCGCCTGTGTACACCACAGCGTCTGCGTACGCCACACTGTTCGCATGCACCACCGCGCGTGCACACCACAGTACCTGCGTACACCGTAACTGCCGTGTGCGACGCAGCGCCCGTGTACACCACTGGTCACCATAGCGCTTGCGTGCAACATACCGCCGGTGTACACCACAGCAAATGTGTAACAACGCAGCAACCATGTGAAAAACCACGCCTGTGTACTCCGCAATGCTTGCGTGCACCGCAGCGCCTGTGCACACCACAGCGCCTGTCTACACCACAGCATCCGCGTGCACACAGCGCTGGTGTACATCACAGCGCCTGCGTGTACAGGACAGGTAAAACGAGCATGTAGGTGAGGATCTGCTACGGACAGCAAAACGCCACGCCAGAGAAGTGCTGATAATAGAATGCGACGTTCCTCCCTCCCCCTCCTCCAGCACCTCCACCTCCGCCTCCTCCTCATCCTCCTCCTCCTCCTCCTCCTCCTCCTCCTCCTCCTCCCTCCCATGCTGATACCCATGAGATTTCCAATACGGGTCACGCTCCCATGCGGACTTCTATGCGGACGCCGATGGAGATCCGGATGCGCAAAGCGGCAGTGCCTGGAGCGCTCTGGGGGAGCAGGGGCGTTACGTTATAGGGGGGGAGGGCAACCAGGGGCTATAATGTCCATTTTGCCCCAAGCAATAACGTGGGCGGTGCGTCCGGGGGGGAAGTGAGAAGGGGCGGGCCTTCTCAAAGGCTCGAAATTCCCCAGCCTTCTGCGAATGTTTCCAAGCCTACCCCGGAGACGCAGCGTACTGGAGGACTTCTGAGAAGTCCCGCCGCCTTCTGAAAAGGCCGTCTCCTTCTCACTTCACCCCCTTGCCCGCCGCCGAACTGCGTCGCCGATACATCCGCCATGCGGCGCGATCCTGCGACCCCATCTGCTCCGACAACATTCGGGCGGCCCGCGTCGCGCGCCGTGACCGGCTGATCCGCTCCGACGTCATCGTTGTCGTCCTCAACTGCGGCGGCGGCGGCAGCAGCAGCAACATCATGATCATCATAATCATCATCATCATCATCATCATCATCATCATCATCATCATCAGCAGCAGCAGCAGCAGCAGCAGCAGCATCAGCATCAGCATCAGCATCAGCATCAGCATCAGCATCATCATCAGCATCACCATCAGCAGCATCATCATCATCATCATCATCAACACCATCATCATAATGACCCTTATCCCTCCTTCGAATTGCCTCCTCATCACCCTCCTGCTCTTCCCCCTGATCATAATCACCGCCATTCTCCTGACCCCTCCTCCTCATTACCCTCATCACCCTGCTCATCCTCCCCCTGGCCCCTCCTCACCCTCCTCGTCCTCCAGCCTTTTTTCCTCTCGAACTGCCTGATCCTCATGGCTCCCCTTCGTCACCCTTCCTTCTGTCTCGTCCTCCTCCTCGTCACCCTCCTCACCCTCATGCTCCTGCGACTGGCTTCCCATTCGTCCTCGCCCCTCCTCCTTCTCCTCCTCGCCCGCCGGCGCCCTGGCCTTGCACCTCCAAGCCGCCTCCTCGATCTGCGGGATGTACTCGTAGTGCACCTTCTCCAGGTGCGCCCTCACGCGCCCCCCGCTCGCACGGGCGGCCCTTCCCATTACCCCCCTACAGGAGGAGAGAAGAGGAGAACGGAGAGCCCCCTCCTGCTCCCTGCTCCTGCTCCTGCTCCTCCTACTCCTCCTCACCCGCCTTTTCCTCCTCCTCCTCCTCCTCATCCTCCTCTCCCCTCCTCCTCTTCCTGCCTCTCCTTCTCTTCCACCTCGTCGTCCACTTCCTCGACCAGACTGACGGGGTCGAGCGTTCATACACCATCCCCGGGTGCGTGGCTGAAGTGAGGCTCCGCGGTGCGAATTCTCACAATTGCCAAAAGTGTCATTGAAATCGCATTCCTGACGGAAAATTATGTATTGCTTTTCCTGCCCAGTGCCTATCGGATGTTTTCAATTGAATTGCCCCCAGGGCTAGCACCCACTTGTTCTAGCAAGGAACGTCTTGAGCCTCATACTGGGTGGTTGAACCCTGGACTACAACAACAACAACAACAACAACAACAACAACAACAACAACAACAACGACGGCTCTCGCCTGGTGTTACTTCCTCGCGCTGTGTTCAAGATGCCGCTCTCGCTCGAAACTTTCTCACAAATTACCAATGAATCGCACTCTCGCCTCGGATTTCCGTGTGCTTTACCAAGGCGCTCCGCCCTCGACGTCCAGGAATCCCATTCTTGCACGAGACCTCCTCGCAATTTACTCAGGACTCGTGCTCTCGCCTGAGGCCTCTTCACAATTCACGTCGCTCGCCTCAGTGCACCCCCCACAGCCCGACCCGTCCGTTCAGGGTCCGCACTTTCTCCTGCTTGGGAGCCTGCCAATCCACTTCAATGTCCCACCCGACCCGCCCATCAGGATCCGTCCGCACGACCCGCTCGCTAGGGTCCGCCCACGTCACCACCTCTGGTAGGGACCGCCCCCCCGACCGACGTGCCTGTCGGGGCCTGGCCCTTCGTGCGCTTCAAGTCCGTTCGCCCGCATCGATGCGCCACCCGCCCGAGACGCCCGCAAGGCCCGCCCAGTTGGGCTGGCCCGCTCGTCAGGGTCCGCTTTCCGGGTGCATTGTTCTTCTTTCCTTCCCTTCTGCCAATATTCTTCACCGTCAATCGTCCTCCCTTCCTCTTGCTCCAATCCATTATCAGATGTTCCTCCTCCTCCTCCTCCTCCTCCTCCTCCTTCCCTCGCTCTGACCCTTCTCATTGTCCCTCCTCCTCCAACCTTAGCGGCCGCGCCAACCACACGTGGCAGGCGAAAAAACGGCACCCCTGAAGGGGGTACGATCGAGGACGAATCGGGCGGGCATCGAAGGCATTTTGAATGTCAGGCGAGCGACGGAGAGCGAGCAATCTCACAAGTACTGATACCATTCATAGAGACTTCTCACTTCTAGTACGTATTGCTGACCCCCCCCTCCGGCACACCTTCCTTTTGACAATTATAATGCCCCTCCTGGGGCTAGCACCTTGTTTGTTGTCTAAAGGGAAGTCTTGAACCTCACACTGTTTTGCTGGCCTCCCGATGTACAGCAGCAGCGGTTCCCTCTTGATGTTCCCCCACGATGTATTCAATTTCGCGCTTTCGCGCGGGACCCTCCTACGTAGCACAGCACCCCGCAGTTGCGGATAAGAGTGAGGGGGCGGCGAAGACGTCGTCAGTCTGCGGGGCTCTGAAGAAGCCCGCCTCAGGCGCGCGCCGAACTTTTTACAAATTATACAGTGGGCCCGCCGCAGGCGCCGATTTCTTCGTTGGATCGTGGGGTGGGTCGCGGGTGGGTCGTGGGTGGGCCGCGGGCCGGGTCGCGGATGAGTCGCGGGTGGGTCGCGTATGGGTCGCGGGTGGGTCGCGGGGTGGGTCGCGGGGTGGGTCGCGGGGTGGGTCGCGGGTGGGTCGCGGGATGGGTCGCGGGGTGGGTCGCGGGTGGGTCGCGCGGTGGGTCGCGCGGTGGGCCACGGGCAGGTCACGGGCAGGTCGCGGGGTGGGTCGCGGGGTGAGTCGCGGGTGGGTCGCGGGGTGGGTCGCGGGGTGGGTCGCGGGGTGGGTCGTGCTGCCCTGGATGATCTATGTGATTTGCCATAGATCATCTGGATCGTGGACCAGGTCGCGGGGTGGGTCGCGGGTGGGTCGCGGGCGGGTCGGGGGAGGACGACGACAACAACAACAATCAATTTAAGACTGTTCGCCCTTATCTGCTCGAATGTCCAATAACGCGTATTTTCCAAACCCTCGATGCCTGCCCTCTTCGTCTTCGATCGAACCCCTTTTGGGCGGTATACCTTTCTCTTTCTTCCCTGCAGGCCGGGACCCGGCAAGCGGCGGGGCGGTCGCGGACCGTCGGCATGGGCGGCGGCAGCGCTGATCGGCGGGGCGGCCGAGAACCGTCGACAGCAGGGCCACGAAGGACACGAAGTAGGTCACGAAGGGCGACAGCGGGGACACGAAGGGAATGCGTGTGGGGCCACGAAGAGCGCGAACGAGCGGGGGCCACGAAGGGCAGATAATGCGGAGCCACATAATGCAACGATGGGGCCACTGAGGGTAGCAAGTGGGCAACGTAGGACAGTGAGGGGGCCACAAACGGCGACAGCAGGGCCACGAAGAGCATGCACATGGGGCAACAACGGGCGCGAACGAGCGGGGGCCACGAAGGGCATACGTATGTTGGGCCGCGGAGGGCAAGGACGGGGCCACTGAGGGCAGCAACGGGGCCACGAAGGGCAGCGAAGGGGCCACGAAGGGCAAGAGCGGGGCCACGAAGGGCATGCATATGGGGCCACCACGGGCGCGAACGAGCGGGGGCCACGAAGTGTATACATATCTGGGGCCACGAAGGGCAGCGAGGGGGCCACGAAGGGCTGCAACAGGGCCACGAAGGGCAGCGAGGGGGCCACGAGGGGCTGCAACGGGGCCACGAGGAGCTGCAACGTGGCCACGAAGGGCAACGAGGGGGCCACGAAGGGCTGCAACGGGGCCACGAAACAAAACGAGGGGGCCACGAAGGGCTGCAACGGGGCCACGAAAGGCAGCGAGGAGGCCACAAGGAACTGCAACGGGGCCACGAAACAAAGCGAGGGGGCCACGAAGGGCTGCAACGGGGCCACGAAACAAAGCGAGGGGACCACGAAGGGCTGTAACGGGGCTACGAAGGGCAGCGAGATCCCGACTCCTAAGTAATCTGTGAGGGAGTCCTAAGCGTGAGCGCGACTACTGGGTGCCTGGGTGTGAGGAGCGCGGCGCTTGAGTAATTTGCAAGAACATTCCAGCGCAAGGGCGCTGTTCTTCAGTGAATTGCAAGCGAATCTCCAGCGAGAGCGCGACTCCAGAGCGCCGGGAAAACGATTCCTGAATTAATTGTAAGGAAATCCCAAGCGAGAGCGCGATTCCGCAATGAAATGCGAGGAAGTCTCGGACGGGAACGGGGGTCCTGGCTGAATTGTGCGGAGGTCTCAGGATGGAGCCGTTGTTGTTGTAACCCGGGGGCCACGAAGGGCTGCAACGGGGCCACGAAAGGCAGCGAGGAGGCCACAAGGAACTGCAACGGGGCCACGAAACAAAGCGAGGGGGCCACGAAGGGCTGCAACGGGGCCACGAAACAAAGCGAGGGGACCACGAAGGGCTGTAACGGGGCTACGAAGGGCAGCGAGATCCCGACTCCTAAGTAATCTGTGAGGGAGTCCTAAGCGTGAGCGCGACTACTGGGTGCCTGGGTGTGAGGAGCGCGGCGCTTGAGTAATTTGCAAGAACATTCCAACGCAAGGGCGCTGTTCTTCAGTGAATTGCAAGCGAATCTCCAGCGAGAGCGCGACTCCAGAGCGCCGGGAAAACGATTCCTGAATTAATTGTAAGGAAATCCCAAGCGAGAGCGCGATTCCGCAATAAAATGCGAGGAAGTCTCGGACGGGAACGGGGGTCCTGGCTGAATTGTGCGGAGGTCTCAGGATGGAGCCGTTGTTGTTGTAACCCGGGGGCCAAGGGCGGAGTTTGAGCATCAAGACTTTCCTTGTCAAACAACAGGGTGCGAGCGTCAAGGGGCACACTTTGATAAAGAAAAAACAATATGCACCCGTGAGGGGGTATCACCAAGAATTATTCTTCAAAAGTGAGAGCTCAACAAACAGAGTCCTCCCCGCGGATCCCCACTTCAGCCACGCTCCCACGAAAACAGAATGAGCATTCGGCCCCCTCACTCTTATGCATATGTATACACTCACATATATATATATATATATATGTATACACATGTATGCTTATATATACATACATACATACATACATGCATACATACATACACACCTGTACATACATCAATGAATACATATTATGGAATCTGCTCTCGCGTGGGATCTCCTCCCAATGTATGCACACGCCGCGCTATCGAAACTCAAGAATCACACTCTCGCTTTGGATTTCCTCACGATGCACTTGGGAATCGCGTTATCGCTCGAGACTTCATCCCGATTCACGCAGGACCCACGCTTCAGCGACCCGCCAGCTCGACCCGGCCAGCTAGGCCTGCCCGCTGCCTGTTAAGTCCTCCCGCCCTACCCGCCCGTCCGGTTTTTCCTGTGATTGTCTACGACGCCCGTCCTGCTGTATTCCTTGTTGCTCCATCGTTTTCCCTGCCCTTCGTCGCTTCGTTCCTCCCCCCCCTCCCTTGGTTTAAAAGCTGCGCCAACTGCACGTGACCGGGGAGGAATGTCCAAAAAGGTACGATCAAAGACAAAGAGGGCTAAGATGGAGGGAGTGATATTTACAAGCTGGGTGATACGCGAGCAGATGAGAGCGAACAGCTCTGAAATGATTTGTGATTTTCCAAATCTAAAAATAATGATTGATGATCCTTTTTGCACGGTGCCCGTTGCGTTTTTTAATGAAAGTGCTTCCCCCGGGGCTCGCGCCCTGTTCGTGTCAAAGGAAAATATTGGGCCTCACAGTGCGCCCTGGCCCCCGAACTACCACAACAGCGGTTTTCGCGGGATACTTCCTCACGATGTATTCAAACATCGCGCTCTCGGGCGGGACATCCGCACAACCCAATGCAGGAACCACGCTCCCGCGTGGTACCTGCTCCAATGTTTTGAGACGCCGCGAC